CGCATCCATGTTCAACAATTTCGCACCAGGCAAAGGCCGTTTCACGAACTCGACTCCACTTCTCAGTGACTGTTCGCTCGCTGGATCCCTTTCGTTCACTTCAAACTTCTGCTCCAGTCTGGACTTCTGCTCTTTTGGAGCATAGACACCTTCAAGTTCAAACGGGCGGAGTCTGCTTCATACATCGCAGTACTCGATCCGAAGAACGAAAAGACTCTCGCATTTTCTGGTCAGAGCGGCAGAAAGGATCTCTTTTCTCTGCAACCTCTCCTTTGAATTCCCTTTGGTTTCCCTGCGGCTTCCTTTGGTTTCGCCTTGGCTTCCCTTCAGGTTGCCGTTTTTTGCTTCCCGTGGGTTCCCCGTTCGGTTCATCCCTTTGGCTTCCTTTGGTTCCCTTTTGATTCCGTTTGCTGTCGCAGACCTCTAGCATGGCACACGGGCTCGCAGGATCCCGGACTTCCACAGAACCTGGTGAAGAATTCGCCCACGGAACGCCGAATCTCTTTTGAACGTTTTTATTGTTCACGATGAATCAGATTGATTTAGTCCTTAGCAAATGCGCTAGACAAGTGTTAGACTTGTGTTTGGGTGGGACTAGCCGGCCTGAGGTATTAAACATGAAACATTCCACTCGACTGTGCGGAAAGGTTGCGGAAGGTTGTTGGGGATATCACCAGGGTTTTTGGCTTTCAGTAAACCACCGGTCCATGTTGGGGAAACAAACATCTTATTTAATGTGGGGGAGTAGTTAGTCAAGGGCCCCCCCCCAAAGAAACCAAAGACATTGCGCGGGATAGGGGAAAACCTAAAAACATCCGGCTGAAAACATTCTAAACCAGCCCTACAAAGAGTGCGATTCGTTTTCCGGTAAAATCGACAACCGCTCATGTGCTCCCCGAAGTAAAAACTAGCCAGTTGCCGTAGTTTTTCAAGTTGTTTCACAAGCTGTTGGTTTCCCCTTCACGCGGCTGGTTGCGACAAAGGGGGATGCCAAGCTTGATTGCCATTAGGTTAGATCTTTAGACTTTCACTTTTGGTTTGAACTCAAGTTTGTTTTCCGTACTGAACCCGCAACAAGTGGATAACTTTTTGCAGCGGGGTACTTCCGGCAACCAAGTTATTATAGATAGTACCATTATTTTTCATTTTTACCAGGACTTCACAGCAACCAACTTGTTATGGATGGTACTTGTATTATTTATTCCCACGGATTTTCTTACCAGGACTTCACCACCCGGTTTGTTCTGAGAATGTCCAGGGCCGGGTGCCAAGAGACCACAGTTCTGAAAATTCCCACAAGGAAACCAACAGAAAACAAGAATCATTTTTCATTGGCCAAGCTTTCTATTCAACACCCAAGAGGAAGACAATCCCCCCCCAATTCCCTGGATAGTATCAAGCGAACCTTCATTCTTTTTCTTTTTTGTTTTGCCGGTTTTTTTTTGTCCCCCCGGAGAAACGATGTGCCACCCACTTTAGGATTCAAGCGCCCAGTGGACGGGGGCGCCCACTGGGAACCTCGGTTCGAAGCGCTTCGAAGCGCCAGCGAGGGCCGGGAGCTGCCGCCGGACCCGGCGAAGGTGCCGCTGCCGCAGGTGCCGCAGGCGACGAATGCGGGGGGCTCAGTGGGGTGGGGTTGGTGGGGTGCGAGTTGGGGGGTGGGGGGGAGGGTTGGGAGGAGTGCGAGTTGGGGAGGGGTGAGGTTGGTGGGGGGGGGGGGGGTTGAGGTTGGGGTTTGTTGCGGGGTTGTGAGGTTGGTTGGGTGTTTTTTGTTTGGGTTGGCTGGCGTTGGTTGAGTTTGGTTGGGTTGGGGGTTGGTGAATTTGCTTTGGGTGATTTAGGAATTGGGGTTTCGGGTGACGCCTTTCAAGTCCTCCGCTGTGCTCGCTTCGGGCTTCAGGTGGGCCAAGATGGCTGCTTGGCTGCAGAGAACTGCGAGGGCCCGGAAAATGCGGTTGCTCCCGGTTCCGAGATGACCAAGCAAGGGCAAACCATGAATGACCCAAGGAGACAACAATGGTGGTTGGGTCCTTTGGTTTCTTTTTGGGGGGGGTTGCAACCCTGCGCAGGACAGCATTTGGTGAGCGTTTGGTCCTTTTACTGGGCTAGGGGTTTGCTGACAAGCTTGACATTCAGATTTCACGGAGGGCCTTGGCCTGTTCCGAAATTTGTTTCTGGAGCAACAGGCAAATTTGTCTTGTGGAGGATTTGCTGAGAGACACTCTTGCATGCAGGGTGACAACTTAGACAGCAAAGAGAAGCTGCATGCAGGGGCGTTGCTGTGTTCTGAAAAGTGCGAATGGCCCCCTTTTGTGGGTTCCATGCTAATCTGCAGGGGAGTGCACATATATATATATATATATACATACATATATCATTATATGTCATGTTGTCTTAGCCAACATATAAGGTGCCTCAATCTGTCAGGATGATGATCCCGTGGCAAACAATTTCATGCACCACATGTCAACTCTCTAGTGGAGATGCCAGTTCCTCTCGGAATTGGATTGGTGGTAGCGCAATACGGTGATACCACTGGCACCGTTGCGAGGACACCTCTATTCAAGAATGCAGATGGCACGATGGAAGCCATCGGTGTTTGAAAAGGTTTCGTCTGCAGCCGTATGAGTTCTGCGGTCTAAAGCTTGCGAGGGCCCCTCCGTGGCGAACGTTGGCAAGATCTCCCCATATGGGAAAGTAAAAGGAGATGATTAAAAAACCATGGAGGGGGGGTGGGGAATTGTGCCATCTATATACTTGCCGCAACTGAAACGGCAAAATCCACCAAAAAGCGTCTCAACTGCTGATCTAATTGAGACCTTGGCGCCATTCCGCGCCACCAACGAGCGGTGGCCTAGCAAATATTCTGGAGAATCCCTCAGAAGACAAGGTCAGCGTTAGTCTTTTTTTTTTGGGTCTCCTTGAGTGGTTTTCTCCGGTCGTGGATGTCTCCGGGTGGAACTGGATTTGTCTCAAAGGAATGGCCCCCCCCACCCCTTCAAAAAACAAAGGAGGTCGGTTTCCTTGTCTCCCTGAAAAAATATGTCCTTTATTGGCGGAACCCTGAAAATGCTGGGCTTTCCTTTCGGGTTCCCCGTTTTTCTTTTGTTCAGGCCACAGAAAGGGTGCCTCTCCAAAAAAGACCTCGCCCGTCGAGCCCACCAGGGAAGCAAGGGACGGTGGCAACGGGGGCTTTCGGTAGGCTTCCCGGCGCTGCCGTCCATGGAGGACATCATGAATCCCTACTCCCAGACCATGCCGCTTCGGCGAACACAACTGGCCTCGTCTTTTGTTGGGCACCGCTGGTGGTTTTCAGGGAACCAATCAAGGTCCAAGTAACTCGGGAATGTTTGGAGGGCAGGCTTTTTGGGGTGGTGTTAAACGGAGCCCGAAAAGAACACCATCTTTTTCTTGTTCTTTTTTTGGGGGGGGTCCATATCCTAAAAGCAGACGCATAATTTTGTTTCGATGTTTCGATATGGCTCGGCTCGGTTGGAGGCTTGGGCTTCGGGATGGACGCTTTCAATGAAGTGCACGGATTGCTGAATAAGACTCATCTGGGTGTGACAATTTTTAGAGTGTAAAAAATAGAGTTGAAACATTTTAGAGAATCTGGGAGAATCATTTCTTTGGTGTGGGTTTAAAGTTAAACAGGGATCACCTCCATTGTTTGTTTTTGTTTTTAGACACATGGCATTGGCCAATGGTCACGGCTCGTTTCATTTGTATGTTTTTTTTTCGTTTTTTTTTTTTCCCCCGAACGCGAGCCAACTGGCACGGGTTGTTCTTGGTCTGCCAGGACTTGTCCCCAAATGGGTGGTTGCTGTATGTCCCAAACAAGACCCGCAAAAATCTGCGCCAAATGGGACCTTCAGCTCTCAACCTTCAACCCTCCCTGAATGAGACACGCAGCTCTCCGCAGCCCAAAAAATCCCCCGGGTGGGGGTCCCGGGGCTCGGAGGTCGGGCATCAGTTCCCGCGCCAAGGAGCTGGAGGCGGGTGGGTGCGAAGGGCGGTGAGCTTTCCAAGGGTTTTGAAGGAACCTAGGCGTGCTTTTTGTTTTTTGGGGGGGAGACCCTCCCTAGCCCCCAAAAAGAGGGGCTTGGGTTTTGCAAGTTTGGCTTCCCTTTGAAAGCCGACCCAAGAGGGGAACCCTCAAAAAAGGAACCACCGTGTTGGGCCCATAAGTTTGTGCATGGGAACCACACCCACCTCTTCCCATAAGTTTGTGCGAGGATCACGCTGTTGCATACATTGGATCTCTCCAGGCATGAAAGCATTCGGCAGTCTGCGGGTCTTTCATGTTGAGAGCATTTCGGTGATCACGACAATGTGGATCGCGTTTGATCGGTTTGGAGGCGCAGCCCCTTTTTCAAGAGCATATCAACTACCAGAGGATGGTAGCCTACAAAAAAAGGGAAGGAGTCTCTCTTGAAGGTGAGAATCTTCGAGCGTTCCCGTGTTGACTCTGTTCGCCCTGCTAATTTGACGTCTGATTGTCTACATGTCTGGCTGTGGGTCAAAACCAATGCGATCCCATTTTGGGCTAGGTGAATTCACCACCCATTTTAGAACCGATTTTTGTGGTTGGATTGGGATGTTCACTGGGGCAAACCGATTTGGCGTTTGACCCATGGCCATTTGTCTCAAAGTATGGCACCCATGGTTTCCCCTTGGCTTCCAACGCCCTCCCTGTGCATGAGTTTGACTCAAGACACCAATTGATTCTGCGATCAGCCATGTGATCCTAGAAGAATCTCCTCATTTTCTCGACCCCATTTCAAAAACCATGATGTCTAAACCCTGTTTGGCTATGAATTTGTTCGGGAACCACCTAAAACGTGACTGGTGAACATGAATCCCCACCAAATCTTGGTATCCACCAAAGGGTCCCTTATTGAAATTCGGAGCCGCCCAAAGCAGATGCCTCGTTACTCTTTTTTTGCCAAGGCCAAGATGATGAAGATTGAGAAAGAGAACGCGGTACGTCTCCAGAAGCA